AGAGATGTGGTGAATTACTGACGATAAGACTTTGTTCCAGGCAGTTTCCTCTGCAATTTCATTGAGGTGGCGTGTCACACTTTGGTCTTGAATAACCAAGCCTATGGTTTCAATCTCTTCTTCACTCTGGCTGCGAGTGTGATTAGTCATGTGAAAGGTCTTTGCCTTTGATGTACTTGAAGTCAAGGTCATATCCCATAATTCGGCAAAGCATTCTTTGAAGTCTTATGGGATTCTCCCCAACTGGTCGCTTGAGTACTGCAACAAGTGCTTTGTGGTCATTATGGACCTAAGCTGCTGGATGAGACATCAGTTTGGATTTCTACTGGCAGATCTGGATTGAAATATTTCAGAAGTGGTGCACTTGAGATGAGTGCTTTGATTTCGTCAAAAGCTTGCTGTTCATTCGCTTCCCAGGTAAATGCAACGTTGTTCTTCAAGAGTGTTCTAAGTGGTGCAGATTTGGTGGACAGAGCTTCAGAGAATCTCAACTGGTAAGTCACAACACCAAGAAGTCTTCTTACTTCCTCCTTGTTGGCTGGGGCTGGCATGGCTTGTATACTATCTTGTTTCCGTGGGTCTGGTTTGACTCCTTTGTCGGTCAAGTTACCCCCATGTACGATAACTCAGTCTTCTTCAGTTGGAACTTGTGAACGTTTAGTTTGATATGCTTCTGTTGGCATCATTCTAGTAAAGCAGATAGTCGGGCATCATGGTTGGATGTTGCTTCTTTGATGGTGTTTTTTTTTTTGTTTTTTGTTTTTATTTTAACACATTTTTTTTTATTTTCACTTAAAGCACAAATACTAGAGTAATACAAACAAATACAAAGTTAATTACACTAACGCTTACGCTACTCACTAACACTAATTACGAAATACTGCATTACATTACATTCACAGTCGGCTAGATTTAATTTATGTTGTGGTTATATAATAATATAAACCTAATTTGTACAAATACTTCTACATCAAATTCCTTTTTTGGTAGAACGACTGTATATACAACTGTGTCTATAACTGTTAATACCCGTCATCTATTGAGTTACAATAACATGATTTCCCATTTTTTATAATGAATAGATTCTTTTTTATTCTTTTTTGCAATCAAAAATTCAAATTTCCGAGTTTCAGATGTTTTAGCCTTCAGTAAGCACACAGACGGCTTGATATTTTTACAACGACATGAATAAATGGTATATTTTCCAAGAATGATTATGTGATGTAACAAACAATTCCCAGGGTTATTATCAGAAATACCAAAGAGGATTGTTACCTCATCAAGCTTATCAATTTTCATATTGTAAGTATTTAACCAAGAAATAACCGAAAGCCAAAAGTTTTTAGTGTAGGTACAGCTGATTAGAAGATGCTCAAGAGTTTCTTCGTGATCTCCACAAAAGGTACACATCGGAGAAGGAACCAAATTCATTTTATATAGGATTTTATTGGTGTAGAGAATACGATTTAAGATTTTGTATTGAAAGGCTCTCGTTCTGGTGTCAAGAGTGACTCGACCCGGCAATAGATAAATATTTTTCCAGTCTATATTACCTGAAATATTATATACGGAGTTAAACTTAGATTGGGCAGTCGCAGAAATCTGGATTCGTTTGACCAGGGTGGAATAGATTGATTTTGAAGTCATTCTAGTTATATCTTGAACATCGTCTGAAACAGTTTTGTCAATTCGGTTGTTATTATTCTCTCCAACGTTAAGGAGCTGTTTCCAGTTAGGCGGAATGGCGGAAAAAATGCCTTGTAGGAGTAAATAATCTGACAAGGAGAGATTTTTCTCTCTAAAAGCGTCCCACCTTTTTAATTTTGAGTCATTTGAGAGAATATCTCCAAGTTTCACAAAACCTGCTTCTTTTATTCTCTTGTTGTATATTGATTTCTTGTTAATCAAGAGGTTCTGGTTGTTCCAGATAGTCACATTTAAAACGTCCTGTTTTGTAGCTATTATATCGTGATTGCCATTAAAGTCAGACAAAACTTCAAGACATTCTTTATAAAAAGAAGGTAGTTTACAGGGTAGGCGCGATGGATTGAAATTGCACTGAAGCAGAAAACTGGTTCCTACATTCTTAAGATAATGAGACAAGAAAAACTTTCCACGGACTACTATTATCATCTAAATACCTTGCAAGACACACAATTCTTTGAGTTTTAATTAAAGATTCAGGGTGAGGCATTTTGAGGCCACCGTCTTCGTATTCACTAATTAAGGCTAGTCTTTTGACTTTGTCTTTGCCTCTCCACACAAAATTGAATATCACAGAATTTATGCTTTTAATTATATCCTTATCAAAAGAGATAAAGGAGGCCCGATACATAAACTTAGGCATAGCAAATGTTTTGACTAATTGAATTTTACCAATTAATGTTAAGTTTCTCCATTGCCAGCAACTTAAGGACTTTCTTATTGACTTTAAAGTAAGGTCAAAGTTAAGCTCTCTGCTTTTACGCTGATCATAAGTGAAAAATATACCTAGTATATT